GATGAGGCAGCAGGTTTCGTTTGCAATCCATTCTCCTTCAGCTGATATATCATTCTTTTGTCCATTTATGGTTGATATGATGTTTACCTGGTGTTGCTTTGCACACTAATATGACATTGTTTGCACACAATTGACAACAGGGGAGGCGTCTGCTCCTTTTTTTCTGGCAGACTGACACAGATCAGTTGAGATGACTGTCCTTAATGCTGCCCAGGACACATGAATGTTCACGCTACCCATCCTAAAAGACAAATGAAGCGGCAGAGTTATAAGCTATAATGGCATTTATGACCTTTTGTCAATGCTACATTTTATTGGACGTATTCACAAAAGAAAAGAAAATACTGGTGAACAGAAAACATAATGAAGCATCTTCATTATGTGCACCAAGATGAAAGGAGTCACGCAGCGTAATATGCCAAACTCATACATTGAGGAGAGGATGATTTGATGGTCTGCATCTTTTTGATGTGGAGTCACATTTTTTGAGTAGGTGCGTGTCAGTACATAGGCTTCTCCATTGGTAGAGGGCTAAGTGAAACCTACTACAACAGCTACAGTGTAGCTTTGATGCAGAAGTATGAATCAGCTTAAGTCTTTGTGGTGTTCAGTTTTGGACGGTTGTGGTCACACCAGTCAATAAAATACTCAACTATGCCCCTGTACCCCTCCTCATGTCCTCCCTTAACACATGCTGCTAACAACTGCTGAGTCATTCGAGAATTTTTGGAGAGAGCAGCTGTATGTTAGACTCTTTCTGACTTCACCTGCATCCTCCTCGTTTTCTCACTAAGCTGCTCTGGCTTGATTGTATGAAATGCACTTGGAAAAAAACAACAACATTATCCTCATATAACACATTCTTGTAAGCAGCATGCCAATGTCTGCTGTCATTGCTATCAATGGGTTATTAAACTGTTTTTGTGTTATAAATGTATCCATGTATGACAACTTCATGTCTGTGACCATCCTCTGCTGCTATGTGTCCCCCTGTCAGATCTTTGGTCCTGTGCAGTGTATATTCAGCTTTAAGAGCCAGCAGGAGGCCATCGACAGAGCAAACAGCTCAGAGTACGGCCTGGTGTCTGCAGTCTTCACCACCAGTTTGGACAGAGGTCTGACTGTGTCTGCGGCTCTGGAGAGCGGCACAGTGTGGTGAGTGTGTAACACATAAAGCTGACTTTATGATACCAAGGGTCTTAAAACAGACAGGGTCCTAAAAAAAATCTAAAAGCATACAATTCACATTTTGATTTTAAGTCATTTAGACTAAAATTATATCAAGCTAGCACCCATTTTTAAAGGTACCAGATTTAACAAATGAAGGCTGAAAAGCAACTTCACTCACATGACTGTTTTCTCTTTCTCTCTTTCTGTGAAGGATAAACTGCTACAACGCCCTTCATGCCCAGGTTCCCTTCGGAGGATATAAGATGTCAGGAAACGGACGTGAACTGTAAGAACCGGTCTCTGTCTCTTCAGATTTCATATCTTTGAAGTTATCTCTGCTAGCTGTGTATCTTCTTACCCCCCCTCCTGTGTTGTCTCTCTCGGCCCCTCAGGGGGGAGTATGCCCTGGCTGAGTACTCTGAGGTGAAAGCAGTGACCATCAAACTGAGTGAGACCCTGTGAGGAGAAGAGGGACGGTCCGTTTGAAACATCAGGACAAAAGCACACACCTTTACAACACACGCACACACACACACACACACACACACACACACACACACACACTCTATCATGTCGTCAGTCAGGCTCATACACATCAGGGTGAAGACATCTTTAGAGACCATGTCAAAGGGCGGAGCTTATACTCTGTGCTGACTGAGGAGGTTGGGTTGTAATGCTGTAACAGGGTGTCTCATTAGGTGTTTAACCCTTTGTTTCTGTGTTGAAATGCTCCCAGTTGAAGATGTAAATGTCCTCCTTTTTTCTCCAGCTGTAAGTGACAAACATGTTTTTTTTACACAGACAGGGGTTAACACCTGAGGGGTGCACTAAGAAGTGAGATAAGCGGGTAGTCCTGGCCTGTTGTGCCTAAAGCCAGAGTTAGCTGGCTCTCCTTTAAGCTGGCTAGATCACCATGGTGACTGACTCCGTACCAGGTAACGTTTAGAGCTAACAGTTTAACGTTACCTGTGAATATCCTCAGTTCAGTTTTAATGTCAGAGACAGAAGCTGTGCCGTTACAGCAGCACATAGCCTACTGTATGTGTCATGTCACGGAGCCTGAATACATTTAGTTTGGATACCTGTTGGTCTCAGGTCAAACTAGCATGTTTAATCTCTTCAGATCATCCCCACAGTAAAAGAACGCTGAGAACACAGCATCTTAAAAAATTTAAACTTTATACTGTATGCTTCGTCAAAATATCCTAAAGTGTGTTTAACACGGATGGTTTTAACATTTCACCACTAGGTGTCACTGTTGTTATTTTACACTGTTGATTAAGGCTATAGGCTTCAGTTATCATCTTATCACAATCATCATATTTTAAAAACATTTGAGTTTCTATTTGTGGATTAACGTCAGTTAACAGAAGTTATTTTCAGCCGTTAGTCTGTTCAGAGACGATAAGATACAAGAGGAAATATTATATCAAACACTTTATTAAGAAAGATATTTTTCTGAGGGGTCAGTTAGCCTAGTTATATTGCCCGCCCAACGTACAGAGGCAAAAGGATTCATGGCAGCGGCCATGGGTTCAAATCCAGTCACAGCACTTTGCTGAATGTCCTCCCAGCACTCCCTGTCTCTCGTCAGCTGTAAAATCAAAGAAAGGCAAAAAGGCCCAAAAAATATCTTTACAAAAAAAAACCTAAAAGAAAGATGCTTTTCACTGATTGATCAGGTTAAAACATCATTTTGGTTACTTTGGATGTTACACTCTACAAGTTAGGATGACCCTTATCTCTCCATGGTAACCAAACGACGACATAATTTTAACTTCAATTTAACTAGTTTTCATGTAGAGTGTAGTGTAAATCTTACACCACAACTTAAGACACAGACACACAGCTGCCGACAAAGGTCACTAAATAGTTTCACCACACGGGACAAGAAGGAGAAGATGTGGTTAGTTTTATGCTGACTGCTGTGACGTCCCTTTGACACAGGATTGTTAATCCCACAGAGCAATGACACTAGATACATAGAAATAAAACATACACTGATAGGATTTACATGTGAGTGTTCGGTTCTGTTCATCAGAAACACTGAGATGATGTCTGTCTGTATTTGTAGATATATGCAGATCTTTTTTTTTTTACTGATCCTGACCTGTGTGCTGTCATATGAATGTCCTCTGTGCTGAACAGACTGTTTCTTATCTCAGCTAAGGTAACATTTACCTGGATGATAAAGTTGTAGAACTGGAACAGCACCAATGGTGCAGTGTTAGTGTCAACTTGGTGTGTGTTTTTTTATACCAACATGTTTATATTTTCACACATGGACAACAAATCTGTCTGCATTTTCTCATAATAGTTTGTATTTAAACTGACATTTTGAATTAAAGAAAAATAAAATAGTGTTGGTCTGTGTGTTGGTCTTTGTACCTGATGAACAGAAGTTCCTCTTTTAGACCAGAAAGTCACATTTCTCAGTGGATGTGTGTGAGCACTGAGACAGCTGAAGGCTTGTGGAGAAAAGTGAAATATCGATGAAACTCATGTAGGTGCTGGGAAATCTAAAAAGCAGCTAGAACAAGCAAACGAGCCCTCATCAAGGTTATTATCTTTGAATGAATCAATCTTTATTTGCAGAGCCAATTGAAGATGAATGTAATTTGAAGATACGTTATAAGAAGAGTAGATCTAGACTGTACTCTTTGTTGTAATATTTACAATGATCCAGCATTAATCCACCACACAGACCTACTGCAACATTTAACAAAGTAACAGTGGCAAGAAAAAGTGATTTTAACAGGCAGAAACCTCAAGTATATATTGAACTGGCCTCATGTTGAACAGACATCTGCTTAGATGTTATTGGACTAGAGGGAGATGATATGACATGAATGCATACAGACAGGGAGCCAGGATGAGATGAGACAGGAGCTCCGTGTGCCAGGCCCCCCAGTAGTCTGTTCATACTGGACCACTCGGTGGAAACGGGGCTTTCTAAGCCTATAGCAGGATAGACGCTGGTCCAAGCCAGAACCAGCCCTAACTATAAGCTTTATCAAAAGGGAACGTTTTCAGCCTTCTCTTGAAGGTAAAGAGGGGTGCTTTTACTAAATTAACTAAATAACAAAAAAAAATCCAATTGTTGATAATAACTAAGAAAAACTATTTTTTAACAAAACTAACTAAAATACAATAAAATTGGTGTCGCAGACACTTTCAATCATATCAGACAATTCACTCAGATATTTGCTGTTTGCACATGGTGGCCTATAACAGCATCCAACTAAAAGTGGTTTGACATATGGTAAGTGAACTTGTAACCACAAAGCCTCCACACCAACAAACATAACGTCTTTTCTAATTTTTACTGGAATATGATTTTGGATGTACAGCAACCCCTCCTCCATGCAAGTTCCTATCCTTTCTATGAATATTATAACCCTGTATATTCACTTCTTCATCTGAGAATGTACAGTTGAGATGGGTCTCTGTGACTGCCAGAATATGAATGCTATTTGTAATCAATACATCAGATATTACAGCAAGCTTGTTTCTGAGACTGCAAACATTGATGTGCAAGTTTCAGTCCTTTTCGAGGTAACTTAGCCAACAATGGCAAATAATAAAAGATACAAATATTCCTGACACACAACAGGTTATATTTTGCCAACCATTCTTGTTACTCACGCGATTTAAGTATTCCACTATTGATTTTTCATGATAATTATTATCTTGATTTGATTTCTCAAAGTTGTATCATTGTTGTTTTATTTTGTTTTATTTCGACATCTGTATCCAGCTGCAGTCGCGTTATTTTGAAATGTAATCACGGAAACACCTCCGTTGATGTCTCTGACTTTACGTCGCGTGCGTCTCCGTGCCTGGATTGGAAAGTTTTTGTCTCGTGGAATCAGGAAGTCTAGTCAACATTAGTGTGAGCCCGTATCTTCTGAACTACAAAAGCCAAGTGTTGCGGCGGAGGAGGGGGGGACTCTCGGGTGGTGTAAACCGTGTCGTTGCAGCTCTCTTCACACCTGGACCATGAGGTGAGTGTGGACACAATCCACTCTGCTATCATTATGTTTAAAACCCGGACCGGGAGCGCTCAGACCCAGTACGAGCTGAGAGCAGCCTCGTGACGTCACCAGCAGAGGAAAAACAAACGAAACCACGTTTATATCCAGAACAATGTGGAACAATTCAGAACTAACAGAGGTCATTACTCTTCGAAAGCGAACACTGTGAGTTTGTTAAGTAGCTTATGAAGCTCCTCTCACCCGGCTGAGCTATTCTTACCCCACAGAGAGGCTGTGATTTGAAAACGAGCTGCAGAAAGCTGCACACTCCTGCTCTCTGTTTACCTTACATTAACATTAATGACGCACTTGTTTTATTGCTGTCGTTGTCAAATCTTCTCCAGATTTTTGCACAGGGACACACAAACACTCAGACATGCATCTGTGTGCCAAGGTGAAACACTTCTATGTTCAAAACAAACAAACAAGTAACTCAACTTGTTCTGAGAGATGAGATGATATGACATGAATGCATACAGACAGGGAGCCAGGATGAGATGAGACAGGAGCTCCGTGTGCCAGGCCCCCCAGTAGTCTGTTCATACTGGACCACTCGGTGGAAACGAGGCTTTCTAAGCCTATAGCAGGATAGACGCTGGTCCAAGCCAGAACCAGCCCTAACTATAAGCTTTATCAAAAGGGAACGTTTTCAGCCTTCTCTTGAAGGTAAAGAGGGGTGCTTTTACTACATTAACTAAATAACAAAAAAAAAATCCAATTGTTGATAATAACTAAGAAAAACTATTTTTTAACAAAACTAACTAAAATACAATAAAATTGGTGTCTACATCTATTATCATTATTCAAATTTTAGGGCTGCTCAACTTCAATAATTAACATAATCCGTACATAACATAATCCCAACCCGTCTATTAATGTATGGAAGTTAACAGTGGAAGATATTAAATAAATGGAAAGAATTACGTATAGGCTAAGAAACAGAAGATGAATTCATGTGTTACTGGAGTAAATGGATAATGGAGACAGATAAAGTGGAATGATAACAGGTATGTAAATTGAATTTTATTAAATTAATAAAGTAGTGAAGGAACAACCCCCACCTCCCCCTGCCCCATTCTATTTACGGTTTTATTTTTATTTTATTATTATTTTTCTTATTATTATTATTATTATTATTATTTTGTCTTTTCTAAATCTAATTTAATTATCTTTTTTCTCTTTGTACCTTTTTCTTATTTCTTGTATTTATTTTTATTTTATTTCATGTTGTTTGTATTCTTGTATGTGCCAGGATGAATAAAATTTGTGATGAAATATGCAAACTCCAGCCTTCTCTGACAGCCTTCTCCTTAATGAAGGCTGTCAGTGTTGTTTACCCGCGTGCTTGTGCTCGTGTATGAAGTGTACCGTGTTGAAACACACCTCTCTGAAGTGAGCCAAAGCCAAGCTTTTTAAGTAGTATCTTCGGAGCCTGAAGAGCAGGGTGATCATATCAAATACATGTTATGTAACAGGGCGGAGAGGTGGTCTCTTTATGATGACATCTTTATGTTTAAAGAAATATTCCTACAGGTAACCATCATGTTTGCATACACTGATTCACCTTTGAATCAGTCTGACCGATATCACCCAATATTGATGTATCAGTCTTAATCTAGAATATAGAAATTCAATTAAAACCAGCACAAGTATTCAATGATGACCCTCTTAGAGACAGAATCCATCAGCCGTCTTCAGTTGTTAGTGGTGTTTGAATATAAATTGTACCATTTGTTGATGCACAGCTAAATAGTTTGTGAGTAGAAGGTGTTTTTGTGTCTCTCTTTCCAGATAGTGAGATTGTTCACTGCTTCTCGTTCTCTGTTCAGGATGACTTCTGGATCCAGGACTCCTCCCGGTGCTGAGAATCTGCCCTGACCTTCAAACCAGTGACTCCAGTAGGAATGTCCTGATGGTTAATTGGCCTTACCAAGTTCACAGGAGACACTCCCAGCAACATGGAGCAACAAAAAGGTGAGTCAAATCCCTGATTCTAATTGGACCTCTCTCTAAAATCCCTCTCACACGTCAAATACAGACATTATTTATATTACTCCAGGACAGTCAGGTCCTGATCATTTCAGGGAAATGTCAGCACCTCACAGCGTCAGCATCAGACGCTGTCTCACAGCCCAAAATACCTGGTTTGGTTGATGTAGGTGAAAGGGGGCGGAGCCTGAGTACAGCGTGCAGGAGGAGACTGGGGGTCAGTTAAATAGTTTGGTTAGGAGGGTTACTATCTGAGTGAAATTACTTGATGATGATAAGAGCTGAATTAGATTGAAAATGAAATCTCCTTTAGGATAGGTTACACTTGACTATCCTTTACCAGAGGAAGAGATAAGTAACGTCCCACTATATCTTGCGACAACTTTTTTTAAAGTGACACACCTCTCCACCGTACACGCAAACAAGCAATGTATATGAGCATAGTATGTTTGAATGCTGTATTCAGTGAATTAAACATTAATGTTCATTCAAACAAACTTATAATTTATGTTTATAAATGAGAGAGGAGAGGAGGGTGAGCAGAAGAAAATTTTCGACGAGCAAAAAACAACTCTGCTAGGATTACTTAGAGGGATGTGTCGTGATTTTCAACTATTGGAATAATCATTAACTTCTAAAAAAAAAAAAAAAAATCTATGTAGTCATGCACCTTTTTAATCTCATAATGATTCCATTCATTTTAACAATGCCTGGTTGTAACGCTGTATCACCGCTGAACAATGGTTGTATTGCATCTGACATCAGTATGCAAACCGCCATTAAATGACAAACGAAGAAGAGAACTTTAGTGTCAGGTTACACGTCTGTAGAGTTACAGATTGAGGAGATGCTAATAAAACAACGTAACATCTTTTGAATTAGGGAGTGATCTTTTTTTTCTTTACATAGGTCAGTAAATGATCAATTAAACAATCCGTTATTTAACCTAACACGGTTAAGTTTAGTCTTGTTTAAGGATGAATTCAGATGTTGTTTGGGTAGTGGGTGGGTGTGTTGGGTATGGATGAACTTGTATGTGTGATTCTCTTTACTCAATTTCATTTTTGTATGGAATAATTCTGTTATCTGTTTAATTATGGTGCGAACCCCAGGAAGAGTAACTGAGACCATGTGCAGAGGCTAATGGGGGTCCTAATAAACAATAAGACCAAGTATTGGAATGCTAAATCTGTTAGCCCTTTATCTGTTATAATCTACATCAATCTAACACACTGAGATGTACTTCCAGGTCCATCTGTGAGAAAATGAGTCACTAGTCGGGCTGGGAGATATGACCTCAAATCAATATCACAATTAATTGAACTCACATGGTCTCTATTGTAAATATGCTCAACTATTAAAGCTGATGAACTATTTTGTGGTTATTTATTGAATATTTCAAACTGAAATCAAAGCATCGTTTGAAATGAAAACAACACATTTGTGTTTTTAAAGTAGAAATTAACTTCTCTAAAACATCTACTGGATCAGAAAGTCGCCCATTCTTCCTTTAATGTTGCCATAATTATCAAGGAGGTTTTCACGTTTAATGGCTGTCTTAAACAACACTGTAACAACACACCTGGCAATTGATGCATGTTTGTAGTCCTTCTTCAGTAAGTTGTAGTTTTGACACGGCAGACCCAAGTGATGTTTGTAACATTAGCCTAGTGTAAGAACAGTCTGACTCTCATACCACCAAAGTTCTCTTTTTTCTCTTATTTACCCTTTTCACTGACACTGTGACATTTTTCATTGAGGTTAAAGTGAAATTCAAATGTGTAGGGTAACTGCAGCTCTGCTTAAATTAGCAGAAAGAGAACTGAAACCACAGTAGTTTTAGAGCCAAGAGCGTATCTGCTGCACTGTCTAACTGTCAGTGTGAACCTGACTCAGTCAACGCAGGGACAACGTTTATATCTCATGTAACACACACACATGGATATTTATATTATCTCTCAGCAGGTTAATGGAGGCTGTAGTGCAGTTGCGTCTTAAATGATTAAACAGTTTTTAATCATTAAAGGAGATAACTGCAGGAGATGCAGGACTCTGATTGCATTTTTTTAGATTAGATTATGTTGAACTGCCTATCCATCTTTTCTTCTGCAAACAGGAAGTTGTAATAAAGTGTTGTTGGCCTTTTTGTCAACAAGTGAACACATCTGTAAGGCTGGTTTACTGCTGTGGCCTCCCAACAAGTGTTTGATCAGTTTTTATAGTGTATCATTGTATGTTTTTTTTCCTGTATACCGTCCAGAAATGTTTACAGGGTACAACTAGGTCTAAACTAAATTAGACTGTACAGTAAGCCTACTGAGACTTTAAAGCTGAGTATTAGAATCTGGTACAGTAAATGATGTTTATCAGCATACAGAGGTTATGATTATGTTTATTCTGATTTATTTCTTTATTGTAACAAGGTGATGTTATTAAGCCCTCACTGACTTTATGCTGTTTTCTTATTGCTTCCGTCTCATCATAGTTGGTATTTACCAGAGAGAGAGTGAAATAGCTGAAGATAGATTACAACACTGCCCTCTACTCTTTATAAAAACACCACATAGAGAACCGCTGCCAAAAAAACTTTCATCTTAACTTTTAATTACAAAAACAATTGTTTGAGAATTGAGGCAATATCGCAAAACGTAGCATCACAAAAGGGTATGGGTCTGGCAGTAGCTTACACTGTAGGGGACTTGGGTTGGGGTGTTGAGGGTCGTCGGTTTACGTTCCGGTGCGGACCAAAATATGGAAGTTCTTCTGGTAGCTGGAGAGGTGTCAGCAGTGTGTAGCAGCCCCACTCTGACATCTCGGGCCTATGTGTGTGTATGTAAAACTGGAATTTCCCTCAGGGATTAATTAAGTAAAAACAAAAAATGTGATCAGTAGATTATTATTAAATAATTGATTTACCTTTTTTTTTTACAGTGAAATTACTCATGTTCCATAGAAAAAGGAATAGACATTAAATAAAATTATTTCAGTGCCTCGTCCTCGTCCCACAACTTCAAATGCTGCCTGATACTGTCTATCATCTCACTTCCGCTGCCCTCTGCGTCAGGCTGAACACGGCCGACCATTAACCATCACCACTGGCTCGTTAGCAAGCTATTGTTATGTTAGTGAGACAAGCAGGGGAAGAGATGAACTGTTCCGTAGTTTTATTCACTTCTGCTTTCTGTTAGCGTGCGTGTCACACTCAATCATGCATACTCCTGTTCTTCTGGTTTATCCAAACTGGATCACACTTGCTCTACTACAGAGCAAGTTACCACTTAAAGGGATACTTCACCCATTTGCACTAAGCTTTGTATCATTAGAAACCTGGTAGTATTTTTGAATGGTCGTGCATCCCGCCCTCATTTTCCCCTGAGATGGGAAATCTTTGTATTTCTGAGTCTGAAAAGGAGCTTCCAGTGACGCAAAAATCGTCATTTTGCGTCATTGGAAGCTGTTGTGGTTAGCGGGGTGGAACTACATCGCTAATGCCACTGGCATTCTGGGATTTGGTGTCTTTCATCCACATGAGCCAAAAAGACACTTTCTGTCTTTTCTCGGTCAAGAAGGCACCAACTTCAAAATGTATTTCACATTTCTTCTACATATATGACCCAATGTCAATACAGATTCATTATTTCAACAGGTGAAGTATCCCATTAAGGGACCTCTGCAGTACTTGGTAGTGAACTGGAACCTGTCCAGCTACCAGACCAAATTGTATACATTGGTCTTTACTGGGACACACTGAACTACTGCTGACCAAAAACTACACCATATTGTAATAATGTAACATTATACTTGCTGTATTTTATCTGTAAAGTATTTTATTGAGTTTTAATCTTGTTAGCACTCTGTAAGCTTTTAGGCTCATGGATCATATGACTAGAAACGTCTCCTATTTCCATGCCGTATCTGAGATCTGTTATATTTACTGGAGTAGTGAGTGACGTTTCCATTGCATTACAGTGGATGGTGATTGATTGTGATATAAGTCAGATCCTCAGGCGTCACCAGGAAAAAGTGTTTTGTTATGTGTTTGGAAACATAAACTGGTCTTCCTTTTCTGACGGTGGTGTAAGCAGGAATAAAACCTACCGGGTAACTAAAACAGGTTAAAGCACTAAATAAAGCAGTTTCACTTTAAAGTAAAGTGTTTCTGATCTCCTCCAGAGGACACAGGATGTCTGCTGACGGGGCTGCTTGCTGATGTAATCCAATCCTTTAAACTGATGTCACATTGTCATTTTTAAAAAACACAATCTCCTCTTCTTTGGAGGATAAAGGGAGATCACTTTCTCTTTTGTGCCACATAGGTCCACTTGTTTTTTCCTCCTCCAGTAGACATCTGCTTTCTGTACAGACAGCTCACTCTACTAATGATTTGTTGGCAGAAAATCAACGTGTCCTCCTGTGGGAGCATGTCTCTCCTTTGGTTCACCCTGTTGAGGTTGAGCATATACAAGTATCCCAGGGGCCATATTGTGGATGTGCTCATAGCTTTTAACAAATGTAGCATTAAGAAGTTTACTGACCAATGAACTCAATAAGTTGTGTTAGTATGGATTATATTCACTTGTTTATTTACAACATTCAGTACAGTATTCTTATTCTACTTGTACAGTGAAAGTAAAGATATCTTATTTTTGTGTTAAGTGAATGCAGGCTTCAGAAATTAGTGAAAAATGGTGTCAGGTGATGACTCGGTTTAGGCTGAATGTACTTTATTAAGATTTATACCAGTGGACATCGAGATAAAGTCCATCAGGCGAAGACTTTGCAAAAAGAAATTCCTGTTTGCTTTTGAAACTTAATGGTAGATAATGTTTTTTTTATTTGACGCTCAAACAGAAACTGGGAAAGGGGGCTTTGAGGTATTCTGCACCCTCAGCCTGGAATCTGTTGGAGAATGAAACTCAAGAAAAACTTTCAGATTGACTGATTGAACTACTGAATCCCACATTTGACTCATAGATGGTTCTCTT